AGAAGTCTCTTATTCTGCAGGCATCTTCCCTTTTCGTTCTCTTTCATAGCCTGCAATCACTTGAGGCGCTGTTCTCATGAGTTCTTCCCATGTAAACCAGCGATCTTCCTTGGGATCGAGGTGATGTCTGAAGCTCACCCGGTACTGCATTCTCGGTTTAGGAGGTCGCCCTCTGCCTGATGGTCGAGGAACAGGCATCATTCGATGCTCGACGATCTTGTCAATTTCCACTTCGCCATCCATGGTTGGGGGCAGCATTGATCTCCGAGAGGGGAATTGGTCTGTGGCAGAAAAAGGTGCCAGCTTTGACGCATGGAAAACAGGATAAGTCCGTAAGTGAGCAGGGATGCGAATCACGTATGAAGGCCCATCCGGTTGATCCCCTACAATATCTAAGATCTCCCAGAGCCCAAAGTACTGAGGCATCAGTTTTCTTGAGATTCCTATTTCTTGTCCCAGTTCAGATGATTTCACCCAGACTCTCTCACCTACCTGAAAGTTAGAGGGTCGTCTATGTTTGTTCTCATATGCAATCATCGCATCTTGAGACTTCTGAATATGTTCAACGGCCTCCTGCAGCATCTGCTCATATTTGACACCAAACTCTATGCTTCCAGGTGTTGCAGTAGGTTGTCTTTCTGGTAACAGAATGTCAAGCGCAAATCTAGGCTTCCAACCAAGATGTAGCTGGTTGGGAGTCATACCGGTGGTGCTGTGCACAACATTGTTGTACAGGCTGGCAACGAGAGGTAACTTCTCGTCCCAGTCATCCTGGCTTGGCTTAATATAATGCCTAAGCAGGTGCTGCACTACCCGGTTCATCTGTTCTGCTTGGCCACTGGACTCAGGGTGATTCCCTGACGTCATCTGGAGCTTTGTGCCCATTTGCTCAGCAGTTGACTGCCACAGTTCACTTGTGAACCTGACATCCCTATCACTAACGATAGACGTAGGCAAACCGAAATCACGAACCCAATTGTCCATAAACAGTTTGATGACGTGGTCAGTTTTAGCTGTTTCTGGCGTAGCGATTAGTCTTGCGTACTTAGTAAAACGGTCCATTATTACAAAGATGTGTCTCTTTCCAGACTTGCTGGTCACAAGGGTATCCATGAAGTCCTTGGACACACTTTGACCAGGACCTCCAGGAATCGGCAAGGGCTTGATGAGCCCAAGCGGAGCCTGAGTCCTTGGTTTTTCTTTTTGGCAAACCTGGCAGGTTTCAACATAACGTTTTGCATCACCAGAATATCTGAACTAAGTTTGTTGTTGTCTTTTTATAGCCAAAATGAACAGTTGCATCGTGACATTCTCCTAAAAATAAACTACGCAACAACTCACTACTGGGGACACACAATATTTTATTCCCCGCCTTATCAAGGAACAGCAAGTCATCTACCATCGTAAGTTCATCCAAAGTCTTTTTATCCTTTGCCTTGAACCTACGAATGATCTCTGACATGACTGGGTCTCCCTGATAGGCTTTCACCAACGATCGAGTGAGGTCATTAGATATGCCAAACTCAATTACTAGCGCGCCCAGATAATCTGCCCTTCTTGATAGCGCATCAGCCACTTTGTTGTACGTACCCTTGATAGGATCAAGTTGATAGTCATACATGTCTATCACTTGAATCCATCTCTTGAGAGCGTCCGACAAGACCGGTTGTGTCTTGATCCAGCGCAAAGTCTCATGGTCAGATCTCACGTAGAAGAACCTTCCTAGGAGGTTATGTCTCCAATGAACTAGCGCTCGGTACAGGGCGTAGAGCTCTCTTTCATAAGTGGACTTAGCCAACTTCTGAGATGACATCTTCTTGCTCATATACTCGATCGGTCTCAACTTGGGCCCTTCCTGTTGCGCAAGGACCGCGCCTATGCCATATTGGCTAGCGTCTGTGGTCACAACAAACGGCTTGTTAGGATCAGGAAGTTTGAGAACTTCGTAGTGTGTCAGAGCATACTTCAATTTCTTGAAGCTTGCTTCACACTCCTCAGTCCACTCCCAAGGGGTGTCAAGTCGAGTTAGATCTGTCAATAGGGAAGCTATAGTACTATAGTTTTTCACAAACGGACGATAGTAGCCCGTCATCCCCAAAAACGATCTGACCTCAGTAACAGTTTGAGGTCTGGGCCAATCACGTATGCTGGCCACTTTCACATTTTCCGGCCTCAATCTATCTGCTGAAATTTCATGACCCAAGTACAAGATCTTGGTGCGACCAAACTCGCATTTATCTAAGTTTACCTTGTACTGGTGCTGTCTTAGGAGACCTAGCACTATTTTCAAGTGTTCAGCGTGCTACTCTACAATCCTACTGAGGATGAGAATATCGTTGAGGTACACGACGATCAACTTGTCCAAGTAGTCATGAAAGATCCTATTCATCGCGTGCTGGAACGTACCAGGCGCATTGCATTGGCCAAAAGGCATCACCACAAACTCGTACAGACCGTACCTGGTCTAAAATGCGGTTTTGTGTTGGTCCCCCGGCCTAACGGCAATTTGATGGTATCCGGACTTCAGATCTATCTTTGTGAAGTACCGACATCCCTGCACTCTATCCAAGAGGTCGTCAATGCGGGGTAGGGGCTCCGCGTTCTTTACGGTGATGGCATTGAG